CACCCGCACCCTTTGGGATTCAGATTCTATTAGTGTGCAGTGGAGCCTGGTTACTGATATTTTAAAAACTCAGGTAGTTTATTGTGTAGCCAGGGTTGTGAACCAAAGTTCTATGTAGAGAACAAACATGTATGTAACAGTGTATTCATGTAACAGGCAAACTGGTTTTTTGTTTGTTTTTGCTTTGTATCCATTGCTCTGGACTGAATGTTTGTTTCATCCACAAATTCACATGTTGTTGCCATAATCCCCCATGTGAGATTAGGAGTATTTGGAGTTATGCCTTTGGGAGTAATTAGGACATGGGTGTGGACCCCTCCTGAACGGGATTAGTGCCCTGAAAGGAAGAAACACAAGAGAGATGATCTCTTTCTCCACCATGTGAGGATACAGCAAGAAGGTGGCCATCTGCAAACCAGAGCGAGAGCCCTCACCAGGAAACTTATCAGCTGACACCGTGATATTGGATTTCCCAGACTTTACAATGGAGAGAAATACGTTTCTATGGTAATTTTGTTATAGCATCCCGAAGTGACTAAGACACCCTGGTGATCTGGGAGGCTCTAATGTGTGGAATTTACCTAGTTTTCCTGTAAGAGCTGCCAGCCTCCTCTTGGATTTTCCTGGCACTCTTCCCCTTCTCTCCCTATGCCCCCCTCCTAAGTTGTCTGAGGCCAACCTCTTCCTCCAGTAGATGTTTTTTCTGTTGGACACTCTTCTGCCCTTTCTAATAGAGCTGAGATTTACTGGTAGTACATAGGTTTACTTCCTCTGAGACTAAGTAACCTGCTCTCTCAGAAAGCTTTGGAAAGGAGCTAGGCTCTTTTTCACCAAGTTAAAACATTTTGGTTAAATATAATCACACCATTTAGCACCTAATTATAAATTATTACCCCCACAACTTAAAAATATTGAATATGAGATTTTCTGTTATTTTTAAAAGGTAAACAATTACTCACAGACCTTTATAAAAAAGATTACTATGTTGAAAGTGAGTCCCCACTTCCCCCTACCCCCATCAAATTATTCTGACTGAAAAACACATGTTTAAAATAAATGTCTCAAATTCGTTGCATTGAGAGCTGAGTTTGGTACCGAATTCACAATGTGACATTGTTTCTGCTGGGCCGTTGAACCCCTTTTTCCTCCCAGGTGGTGATGAAAGACTTTCACTTCCTGGCAAAGAATAAGAGAGGGTTTTGGCTGCATCCCCAGCAAAACCAGCTTTCAATAAATGGTTTGGCACAAATACTTGTGGGCCTGAGCTCTCCCCTTCTATGCATTAAGGGTGTGTCATTGACAGAATTGTCACTGATCTCTCTGGATGGAAGAGGAGTGGTGTTCACGCCTATGATTTGGGCCTGTCATCTATGTACAAAGACATGTGCTAAGCCCTCTAAGGCATACAAAGAAGGTTACACTCTAAATGGGAAGACAAGCCATACTTGTGTATATAAAGGAAGGTGGTCAGGGGCAGAAGGCAGCTAAAATAGGGTAAGTATCAACAATGTGTTCTTAGGGTGAGTTCCCAGGAAACCGGACCTGAGATGGGAATTTGTGTGCAGAAGTCTATTGGAGATGCCCTTGGGATCATCATCTATGGGGGCATGAAGGAGTAGATTGGGCAGAGAAAGAGTTGAACCACGATTTAGTTACAGTACAGATCTCAGCCAATCTAATAAGATGCTCTAGAGTTAGGCTGGTCTTTCAGAGTTGTCACCCCTTGAAACGAGATGACCTGGCCTTTGTAATCTTCCCCCGATCATTAACCATTAAGTGGAGGGGCCTGTCCTTAGGCAGGTGTCTCTTTTTGTCAGTGAGCTATCACCTCCTAACACTAAGCCATCAGCTCTGCCATTGTCAGTGGCAGAAGGAATGGTGCCTCCCTCCTGAAGGGGCCTCTGGGCAGCTCACCACAGCACCCACTACAGTGGGGGATCTGTGACCTTGAGGATAAATGTGGTTTTTTTTGTTGTTGTCGTTTTGTTTTTTATTCTTTGTTCTAGAGTATAACCTTCTTCGTATGCCTTAGAGGACTTGGCACATGTCTTTGTACATAGATGACAGGCCCAAATTATAGACTGTGAACACCATTCCTCTTCCATCCAGAGAAACCAGTTACAAGATGGAGTCTTGCTCTGTTGCTCAGGCTGGAGTACAGCAGTGTGATCTCGGCTCAGTGCAACTCCACCTCCTGGGTTCAAGTGATTCTCCTGCCTCAGCCTCCTGAGTAGCTGGGATTACAGTTGTGTGCCACCATGCTCAGCTAATTTTTGTATTTTTAGTAGAGACAGGGTTTCATCATCTTGGCCAGGCTGGTCTCAAACTCCTGACCTCAACTGATCCTCCTTCCTCGGCCTCCCAAAGTGCTGGGATTGCAGGCATGAGCCACCGTGCCTGGGCCAAGGATAAATGTTTATAGCACGAGGTAAAAAAGGTACATTACTAAGGCACTGGGAGTAACTGGGGAATCTGAAGCATATTGTTATGATGAGTCTCTATTTGCTATTCATTTCACTCTGATAAGACTGTCTCAATCCCCTAGTGTTATAAACACTACAAATACTACTATAGCATAAAATGCCCTCCATAAGATCCAGTAAACAATGACTGAAATATTTAACTGACTCTTTTCAAACCATAAAGGTCAAACACATTTCAAGTTTGGTTTAATTCTATTTTACAATTTTGGTTTTATAACCCAAAACTATTGTTTTCCAATTCACTGCCTAAATAATTGTGAGATTCTCTCTGTGTCTCTCTTTATTTATTTATTTATGAAATAAGATCTGGCTCTGTTGCCCAGGCTGGAGTGCAGTGGCACAGTCATGGCTCACTATAGCCTCAACCTTCTGGGTTCAAGCAATCCTCCTGCACCACCACACTCAACTAATTTTTTTACTTTTATTTTTGTAGAGACAGGGTCCTGCTTTGTTGCCCAGGTTGGTCTTGAACTCCTGGTCTCAAATGATTCTCCTACCTCAACCTCCCAAAATCCTGGGATTACAGGCATGAGCCTGGCCTCAATTTTTTTTTTAAGGTAGACTTTTTTTTTTCCCAGTAGTTTTTGGGGAACAAGTGGTGTTTGGTTACGTGGATAAGTTCTTTAAGTGTGATTTCTGAGATTTTGATGTGCCCATGCTCTCTCCTTTTAAAATGATTTCTTTATGATCTGCCTCCTTGGTCTGGCACATTTATGCCTGTTTCCATCACTACCATCATTGGTTTCTTTCAGATCTTTGCTAAAATGTCATCTCCTCAATGAAGCCTAATTGGATAATCTTAGACTGCCACCCCAACCCGATCCTGGCATGCCCTGTCCCCTTTATTTCTCTCTACAGCATTTGTCACCATCTGGCCTGCTTGAGATTCTTGAATAATTTTATTTATTGTCTGTCTCCTTCCAGTAACAGACAAGTATGTAAATCTCATGAAGCAGGGGTTGTTTTATTCACTCTGTGTTACTAATGCCTAGAAGTGCCTGGCACATAGTAGGCACGTAGTCAATATGCGTTGAATGAATGAATGGTACCCGTTGAGGCTTCCACGGTTCTCTTCTGGCCATTTGCAATAGTGACCCAGCTGGAGTAGCAGCTTCAGCTCTCTGCACCTTCAAGGAGTCCCGTTCTGGACCATGGTACATTCACTGCAGGGCTGCCCCACTGTCCTGCTCAGAAGCTCCCATGACTTCTCAGTGCCAACTCAGGCTCTGGGCGGTCTGTGAGGTCTGCTCCAAACCTGGCTTCTCTCCGTTTCCCCCATCTGCTCAAATCCTTCCAGCCCTCCTGGCCCATGACAGGCTCCCTCCCCTGTGAGTGCCCTTCCTGCCACCTTTTCCCGCCCTCCTCTGAATTCCTCCAGCAGATGAGTGTAAGGGGGCAAGTTAAACATCTTCCAGGGCCTTCTGAGGAATGTGAGGAAAAATGGTAAAGCACTTCACAAAGCCTAACGTCTTTAGAGATGACTGTTATTACCAGTATGTATGATAATATTATTGTATCATAAACTTCTCAATTCAGTTATATATGTCTGGAAGGTTGGAGCTAAAGCATCAAGCCAGATTCTCCAGTTTACCAGTAATAAAGCTGATCTTGTGACTCTGGTCACAGTGGTGTGCTGGAGTCAGCTGATGCCAGCTCACAAGAACCCATGGTCAAATGTTCTGGAACTTTGCAAGCTGGCTGCTAAACATTCACATGCACCCCACTGCCAACAGACCCATGCTTGTTTCGCACTCAGTTCATAAGCCCCAGGAGAGAAAGATGTGTTTAACTGCTTACCTTAGAGACATTATCAGTCAAGAACAAGAATTAAAAAGATGTGGTGAGAGAAGTGAAGGAGCAGTTTGGGGAGTGATGATGAGTAGTTCTGTTTTAGGAATTTTGAATAGTATTTTTCAGTGGAATGTAAATGGGTCTGGTGCTCAAGAGAGAGAAATGGGCTAGAGATAAAGATTTGGAAGTTATGGGATATTGGCAGGACTAGAGGATTTTACCCCCAGATACCCAGGAGCCATGGCCCCAACCACTGATCCACAGCACAAGGTCTATCATCTCGCCCAGGCTCTGTTCTCATTCTCTGCAGTGGCCCCAAGTCACATCTTATTATAATTGTCTCCTGATTGCTTCCCTTCTGTCTCCCTCACCAATTCACCCCATTCATCATTGCCTGATTAATTTCCGTAAGGCACCATTTTGGTTACCTTCAGTGTTTGCTTAAACACCTTCGACAGCTCCTTACTCTTTGCAAATAAAATCCCAACTGTCCTATTCAAATTTGTCCTTGAAGCAAATCCCTGTACTTTCTCCCTTCCATGCCTGATATTCATGCTGTCACTCATAATTTTGTATACAGCTAAGTTTAATAAACATTTTGGAATAAAGACTAGAAGTCACAAATAAGCTGCTGTTGTACATCAATTCCATTGTTCTAACTATCACTTCTTACCTTGTAGATGAAGGTGAACCCCTGTTATAACTAAAATTTCTTGTTCTTGTTAGGCACCCAACATGTATAGCTACCAAATGCTTCTTAATGGCAAGAAACAAGTTTTCCAAGGTTTATTTTTCATTCAAGACACTCTACACATGTTCCTGGCAAGGCAGTTCTAAGCTCCAGAAGACACTTGCTGCCAAGAACCAAACACAGCTGTTCAGGCAGCAGAGGAAGCTGGTGCTTGGTGAAAAACCAAACCAAAACAAAACCCTGCCCGCACATTTGAGGATGGCACAGGTCCCAGATCTACACCTTGAAATGAATAGACGATACAAGATATTTGATATAAAAGAAAATCAAAGTGCCGGAAACAGAAGTTTTCTCTCTCAAACTGACTTCCTCCACTGTGCACAGAGAATAAAAACAGGACTCCTAAGGATAAAAATAATGTTTGCTGATGGGGAGAGGACTGCTTCTCCACTGAACCATAGAAAACCTAAAATCCTCCCCATTGTTTCTTGCCCCATACACTTGTACTCAATAAAGATCTGTAAGAATGATCATGTGGAGACTAAATATTACCCAAAATGGAAAAAATTTAAAAACAATCCCAAACTAAGAGGAGCAGCGGCTACCTGGCAGCATCAGCACGGAGGCCAGTGAGCTGCTGTGTTCTTTGTTTCCTCATAGCCATCATCACCTGAACAGGCAGGAGCATTGGTCACATCTGCCAGTATCATGGTGTTGGCAGCGTGGAGGGGAGGACAGAACAGTGGCCCAGCTCCCATGTGGACCAGGCAGGCAGTTGTCATGCTATCTTATTCATCACTTATAATGTGAAGAAGTTGGCACTATGACTGCTATTTTACATGTTGGAAGCTGTGATCCCCCCATGGGGTGAGGGAATGGCTCAAGCTCACACATCTGGCAAGTAGCAGGAGGTTCAGGCTTGTGTAGCTCCTTAGGCACCAATACTTCCAGTTGCATTCAGAAGGGTGCTATAGGTGTTCTACAAAACAAACAAACAAAAGGTAAGCACGTTGAGAATACAATGGGTGAATACAGTTTATTACAAACCTTTAATGTTCTAACACACATTGTATAGAGTTTCTCTGGTTTCCCTACACTTAATTCACTACAGAATTTTTGTTTTGCCTGGAACACTTCATGGGACCAGTGTTCCCATGAATCATTGCAGGACACCCCTCTGGTCTCATTAGAGTCCTAGGTCTGTTTTATTTTTTTGTCTTGTTTGATTTTCTTTTTTGAGACAGAGTCTCACTCTGTTACCCACGCTGGAGTTCAGTGGCATGAACAGGGCTCTCCACAGCCTCGACCTACTGGGCTCAAGTGATCCTCCTGTGTCAGCTGTTCCTAAGCAGGCCTGGCACCACTTTTGGAAGAGTCTAGGGAAAGCAAAAGGCCATTGGGAAGGACTGTGACAGGGTTACCTACAAAGTACATGGGAACACAGGGAAGGGAAGGGGGAACAAGGAGAAACCTGGGCTATTACAATAGCAATGGACAGTTGTGGGAACTTGCATGCCAGTGCTCTTTGAAGTGCTTTAGTCCTCATAGGCACCTGTAAGATAGAAATCATTCTAACCTCCATTGCAGAAATAAGGGAAATGAAGCACAGAAAGGTTTGGTAACTTGTCCAAGGTCACACCGCTCATAAATGTCTGGGTTTTGATTTCAGGTCGTCTGGTTCCTTAACACCTATATTCTACTTGCTCATATTGAAGGGACATTTAATTGGGAATGTTTAAGACGGAGAAAGGTGGTCATGGCAGAAGATTTATATCACAGTTGCCCAAACAGTTGATAACAATATCAATGGCCAGGTGCAGTGGCTCATGTCTGTAATCCTAGCACTTTGAGAGGCCAAGGCAGGTGGATCACCTGAGGTCGAGAGTTCGAGACCAGACTGGCCAACATGGAGTAACCCCGTCTCTACTAAAAATACAAAAATTAGTCAGGTGTGGTGGCATGGACCTGTAATCCCAGCAACTCAGGAGGCTGAGGCAGGAGAATCACTTGAACCTAGGGGGTGGAGGTTGCAGTGAGCGAAGATCATGCCACTTCAGCCTGGGTGAAAGAGTGAGACTCCATCTCAAAAATAAATAAATAAATAAATAAATAAATAAATAAATTAACAAAATCAACTACATTTGAATTTGAATTTGTTCTTCAAACACTTACTAGTCAGCCTACCTTACCAGGTACTGTACTATGGTGTTAGGGATTCAGCTGTGAATACAGCAAGACTTATAGTCCAGGGTAGGGTATACACAAGGGATTAAATCATTACAACATAGGATGGCACATGCTTGCATGGGCAGAGAGGCACAGAAGACTGTGGAATCAGGAAAGGCACCTGACTCACACTTAGATTAGCCCTTTGATGCTGTATTAAGGATTTTTCACTCTAGATGCTGCTCAAAGGAGGAATGGATGGTATGGAGATGTTTCAGAAGGACCACACCTTCTTATCCACAGATCCACACTAATAGCTTGGAATTGTAGAAAGGCCCCAGAATGGCCCGACCACTGTACACTGTGGTCCTCCTTTTGAAGGTTCTTCTCCAGGAAGTGCAGGGCTCTGGGGCCTCCCTGTTCTCTGTCCCAGGCTTTGTGCAGATGTAGTAACAACCCTTTAACTGGGAGTCTCCACAACCAGAAACCAGCACATCATGTAATCCTGGGTGTGGCAAGAGTAGGAATACTTCCTTCCAAGTCCCATGTGCTCCCTTGCATTTCCAAGCCCTGCTGCAGTTAGGTGGGACTGCGTGACTAGTTCTGGCCTATGGGCTATGACCAGCAAGAATGTCTATCATTTCTGAGACAAAGCTTTTAATTGCTGATGCAAGACATCCTCATCTCAGTGCTCTCCCCCCTGCCATGGTGACTGAGATGGGCTCATAGCTCAGCTGCTACAGGTACACAAATGTGAAACCTCCATCAGCCTGAGTCTTGAATGGAGCAGAATTCTCCACCAAGTAGCATAAGCAAATAAACTTTTCTTAAGACACTGAGATTTGGAGATTACTGACCAATCTAGTAGATCAAGGAGAGTGCTCAACGTCTGATGCAAAGAGCTTCGGAAAATTGTTGTATAGTAAGAAGAAATCAATTCCTGCTATTGGCAGCAATGCCAAAGAGGATAAGGGAACTCTGTATAGTGTTTTGTTATTTTCGAGGCACTTCATGAGCACAATTTAACTGAGTTCCTGAAAAGGCAATGAGACATCTGTGTTCTCAGACCTTATTTCACACCTCCCTTCACCACAGGGGATTGGTTTCACTACGTTAATGGTGCCTGAAAAAGCAAAAAGAGGACATTGAGGTAACTCAGAGAAAGAAACTGCAAGAAGCACACTACACCACTGGGCTGGAGCAACAAAGGGATGGAAGCGGGATTGCTGAAAACTGGAAGTTTGGAGCAGGGCTCCCATGGAGCTGGAACACAGATCTTTAACAAGGAAGTGCTGCTTGTCGCCCTGGTGCCATAGAAGTTCATAGGGAAACCTCTGCCGAGCTGGGACTCAGACCTTTGAGGAGATGTCGCTTAGCTCGTATTGATACCTCTGAAGGGTACAGTAAGGCTGGGTCTGGTTGTGCAGAAAAGACACAAAGAAAAAGAAAAAAGCTAAAGACTGGAACCAACCACTGCTGTCTGAGTAGAGAACCATTACTGCGAAGACCCTGACAGTAGCAGCAAGCAAACAAAAAAGGTCAACTCTTTCCTCTTATCCAGACTTTTGGTCTCCCTCTGGTATCGCCATTGGCAGAGCCTGACATAAAGTCAGCTGGCAAATGAGAAAGAGAATTTGCTAAGTCCTGGCCTCAACCTCATGGAATCCACCACAAAAAAAGGTAGATTTGCAGCCGAGAGATGATAGCCTGATAACCAAACAGGCATCAGCACATTTGAAATTTTTGTTGGTAATCTATTCAATACCAGTGACCCAAAGCAAATTAAATATGACATTGGATGATTTCATAGTTTTACAAAACATATATATCTGATTTCAGATTGAACTGGAATGTCTCTGAAGACAAAACATAAATGACTATGAACTGACATTTATTGAAAGTGCTACCTTTGTGTCATGCACTCTGCCCAGCAGGTTATGTGGGCTATCTCAGTCCTCATTTTACAGACGAGGTAAAGCTGAGGCTTAAAGAAGTTAAGCAACTTGTTTTGAAGCTTCAAAGCAATAGAGACAGAATTTTTATGGGCAGCCTGACGAAGCCTGAACTATTAGCCACATCTCAGTACTACCTCCCCATTCTCTTTACTGCTTAGGTGGTGCGTCTTTACCATTAGGTGGCTATACCTTGGGAATGAACACAACAATCCCAGATTCTTGCTAGAATGGTTTACATACTCCCTGCTGCAGCACCATTTGGCAGCTACGACTGCATTCTAACATGAAGCATTCAGCTCTTCAGTAACCAAACACCTAATAGTGAGGGTCAAAATGGACTCTCATCTCCCAGTTGATCTCTAGCAAAGAGTCATAGCATCTGGGAATTTCAGAGCTACATTATAGGCCCTTACCAGATGTCTGAATTCCCTTCTGTTACAGCTCAATAAACAGTTATCCAGCACCTGTTTGAATACTTTTCATGACATGTAACATACCACTGTATAAAGCTGCTCTCTGTATATTTTTAGACAGCTGAGTTACTAAACAGTCCTTACTTGAGGAGAACTGGAATCTATTACTCTACAATTTCCACCTGAAGATTTCTGATTTTGCTTTCTTGAGCAACACAGAGTACTTTGCCCATGACTTAAGGCAGCTGTCACGTCACTCTTCCCCTAGTAGGGTTGTGAGGTGCTCATATGCTTTTGGAGATAGCAAAAGTCTCAAATAATATGGCACAGACAGCCAGGCATGGTGGCTCACACGTGTAATCCCAGCACTTTGGGAGGCCAAGGTGGGATGACCACCTGAGGTCAGGAGTTCGAGACCAGCCTGACCAACATGGTGAAACCCCATCTCTACTAAAAATACAAAAATTAGCCAGGCGTGGTGGCATGCACCTGTAATCCCAGCTATTCAGGAGGCTGAAGTAGGAGGATCGCTTGAACCCAGGAGGCGAAGGTTGCAGTGAGCCGAGATTGTGCCACTGCACTTTAGCCTGGGCAACAAGAGTGAAACTCCATCTCAAAAAAAAAAAAAAAAAAGAGGGACAAAGGGTGAGCAGAGCTCAGATTAGTTATTGGAGAAGACAAGTACAGAGGAAGGCTCCTTGGTGGTTAAGAGTGTGCCTTTAATCAGACAGATCTGAGTCCAAATCCTAGCTCAATCATTTCTCAGTTGTGACAATTCAGTAGCTCTGTGACCTTGGGTAAATTGTTTAGCCAAATGAGAAAGGTAGGACCACCTGACTGTGGTATTGTGAGGATCCGGTCAGCTAAGGCTGGTAGGTGCTTACCTTGGCCATGTAGCAGATGCTCAGGAAATGAGATCTATAGAGTATATTAATGAAAGACAAATTTAATTTTGCACATAAAGTTACGAAATGTCTCCTTATGGCAGTGATTCTCATCTAAAAGTCATACCATCCCACTGAAGAAGACCTATGTTAGGGTTTATAACAGACTACTCTCTGGACAAACTTAATCCACTTAAAAAAACTAATAAATGTATACAGCATTTGGAATCCAAAGAACTGAATTCAGGATCTGGTTTGGCCCCTTATTCTGTGATCTTGAATAACTGAGCCTTGGTTCTCTTGTTTATAAAATGTACTTATGTAAGTGAACAGGTGGTAAATGCCCACCATGAAATACTATGGAGCAGTTAGAAGCAACAGAGCAATTAGAACACAGACCTGGAAAACATAGTTCCAAGTGAAATAAAAAGGTGATTGGCAGAATGAGAAATGTAACAATGTCATTTATGTAAAATCAAAACAACCACAAGCAGAATATAACACCCATGCAAATTACAGACATCTAGTACAGTGTCATGATTGTCTACAAAAGGAGGAGAATGCAAGTGAGTTGGGAGGTTTAAAAGGGATCAATAAATAAAGACCACAGAGGGGCCTCAGTACATTTAGAAACAAATAACATGCAAACGATGCTTCCCTGCCTTCCTCACAAGGTTACTCTGAGGAGCTAATGAGATTGTGCATATGAAAACAAAGGTTAATTGACTGTCTTCATTATGATCTCCATATTGGACAAATGAACTGAACAGAGATAAAAATTCCCCATCATACTTTGGCAGGAAGCTGTTGCCAGGGCAGCACCCGTGAAGCCCTGCCCTGGCTTCAGAGTCTGCTGGTGAGATGACATCAAAACCCTTCATGTAGGAGGGTGGCAGTCTCCCTCCCTTCTGGAGACACCACCTGATGGGCCAGCCAGAGGCAGCAGCAGCCTCTGCCCATGGATCCACCACAAACATCCCACTTGAGCCCTCGGAAGAAGAGACCGCGGCAGACGGGTGCCTTGATGGCCTGCTCTCCTCAAGACATCAAATTTCAAGATTTGGTCGTCTTCATTTTGGAGAAGAAAATGGGAACCACCCGCAGAACGTTCCTCATGGAGCTGGCCCGCAGGAAAGGGTTCAGGGTTGAAAATGAGCTCAGGTAGGACAGCGTCGATCTCACTTTGTAAATAAGCAGGGGCTCTGTGAACAGCTTCTTGGGAACCCAAGGAACCTGTTTTTTCTTCCACATGTGGAAGAGGCGATCTTCCCACTGGGAGAATAGCAGATTTGAAATCAAAGAACAACTAGTTAAGGAAAACGAGATAAGTGGGGACTGAATACAATTATATTGAAACTAGTTGACACCAAAAAATGAGATAATTTTTTTATGTTTTGCTCTTCACTCCTATGCAATGCGTTATTTAGGGATGATAAGCAGAACACTAATTGGTAAATGGAATGCTGAACTACTCAATTTTATTCTTGACCAAATTGAACAAAGTATCACTGAGTTCAATAAAAAAAGTTTTGGCTACTTTGATGCAGAAAGCATGATTTGGTTGCTTGGCTCTTCCCTACACATCTGGGCGTGCTAAGGCAACTAGCATCTGTGGTGGGCTAGGATGACTAGCCAGCTTACCACAGGCACCCAGATGTGGCCTTGATCATGTTTTTCCAAAGAGCAGTCCCAGTGGGGTTCTTAGAAAGAGAGATGCTGGGTAAAGATGTATTCACTGTTAAGACAGCTCTGTCCAGGGGTGACAGACAGCACACTGAGTTAGATGTAATCAGAACCCAGGCAAGGAGGTGATGGAAGCGTTTGGACCACCTAGATTGGTTCACTCACTAATCCACTCACTTTGAACAGCAATTATTCTTATTGTTTTTCTAACTGCTGTATAAGCTTTTCACTGGTCTCAAATAGATGAAGAGAAAACAAAACAAAATCCAGAAACAAATGGCATTAGAACCTTTACATAAGTGATGGTTCTGGATTAAATCGTTAAGGGGCTTGCAATGAAGGAATAATGGTTTATGCAATTGACTGCTTTGACTGTGCAGGGAATAAATTGACCACAAATTTTCAGAAAAACTATAAAAATTTTATGTGAAAAAACATTTTGATTGTAAAAATAGTCTTTGATATTTGAAAATAAAACTGACAACCATGTCATGCAGAAGAAATGTCAGCTTCCAAGTGTTGAGGAGACATATTTCAAAAGTCAATTTTTAGATATGTTCACGTTCACAACACCATGATTCATATGACATTGACTTTTCATTCATTTTTTGCTAAAATGCCCCATTCAGAAATTCCTGAGTTTCCCATGGCCTTTCTTCCACCTGATTTCTCTCTTTGCAAGGTCTCCTTTTCTCTCTTGCTGCCTCTTTTTAAACTCCTACAGCCACTGTGAATCTCATTTTCTAACATCCGTTCCAAGAAAATCCTACATTTCATCTAACTGTTAAGCCTGCCTAATCTTACAGACTTACATAGAAGGTTAGAGTTGGAGAAGACAGGAAGATTATATAGGTAAAGAAGCCAAAAAAAAAGATTTCCTTTTTTTTTTTTTTTTTTTGAGATGGAGTCTCTCTCTGTTGCCCAGGCTGGAGTGTAGTGGCACAATCTCGGCTCACTGCAACCTCCGCCTCCCAGGTGCAAGTAATTCTTCTGCCTCAGCCTCCCGAGTAGCTGGGACTACAGGCACGTGCCACCATACCTGGCTAATTTTTGTGTTTTTAGTAGAGGCGGGGTTTCACTATGTTGACCCGGATGGTCTCTATCTCCTGACTTCGTGATCTGCCCGCCTTGGCCTCCCAAAGTGCTGGGATTACAGGCATGAGCCACCATGTCTGGCCACAAATAGATTTTTTAAAAAAGAAATTAAAAGCCTTCGCAAATGTGGAACTGCTTTTCATGGTAAAGAAATCTGGCAAGGGTTAGGCAGGAAGGAAAGAGCCAGAAGTGCCACTTACTGGAAAGCTCTCCATTGAAACGTCCAAGCTTCCAGCAAGAATCCACTGATTTATTATAGACACGGCAATGAATACATACATGGCAGCTGAGGCAGGCACTCAGGAAGATGATGGGAGGTAAGTTTCTTCTGTTGGCAGGACAGCTGAAGAGGCAGCTACATGCCCCAGATGCCTGCTGCCAGAGACCAAGCCCAGCTGCTCAGGAGGCAGAGGAAGCTAACTGGTGTATGGTGAGCAAACTGCTGCTGTGCATGTGATGATGGCAGAGTTCCCAGGCTGGTAGCCCAGAAGACACATTAAATACAAATGTGCTCTATGGCGCAAAAATAAACCACAGGAAGTAGAAGTTCTAGGTCTCAAACGGAATTTCTGTACATAGATATATAGACTTTAATTGGATAGAAAAATAAAAATTATTATAGGGTAAAAATCTCTAGATAAGAAATTTAGAAACCTCAACTCCTGGCTCTGAGCCTCCCCAGCCATGGGGTATGGGGCACGGTCCCCTCTCCCCCCATTGATCTTAGTATCCTGATAAATGGCCTGTCTGATGTGATCACCAAATAAGACAATGCATGTCAATGTGCTTTGATAAACTAAAACAGTTAGACAGATGTAAAGTGTCATTATTTTCTTGTGAATTGCTGGATCCATTGACCTTTACAGCAAAACCCTAAGGAAAGGGCTCTCCCTCCACAATATGAACTAGGTCAAATGATATAAACAAATAGAACAAAGACAGGAAGGAAACCCATCAACATGTTATAAGTGGTTTTTTGGGGGTGGGGGTTAGTACGGAGAGATTATGGCTGTTTTTATTTTCTGTGTTTTCCGATATATTTATTTATTTTTTTGATACGGAGTCTCGCTCTGTCCCAGGCTGGAGTACAGTGGCACGATCTCAGCTCACTGTAACCTTCGCCTCCCAAGGTTCAAGCAATTCTCCTGCCTAACCCTCCCAAACAGCTGGGACTACAGGCGTGCGTCACTATGCCCAGATAATTTTTTATATTTAATAGAGATGGGGTTTCACCATGTTGGTCAGGATGGTCTCGGTCTCTTGACCTCGTGATCCTCCCACCTTGGCCTCCCGAAATGCTGGGATTACAGGAGCACCGTGCCTGGCCTCCAATATATTTTTTACAATAAGCATATATATATACATACATATATATATAAAAACATATGTATATATAAGTGTATATATATACATATATATATATTTTTGAGACAGGGTCTTGTTCTGTCACCCAGGCTGGAGTGCAGTGGTGCCATCTCGGCTCACTGCAACCTCCATCTCCCAGGCTCAAGGGATCCTCCCACCACAGCCTCCCAAGTAGCTGGGACTACAGACGCAGGCCACTGTGCCCGGCTAATTTTTGTAGAGATGGGGTTCCGCCATGTTGCCCAGGCTAGTCTCAGACTCCTGGCTCAAGTGATCCTCTTGCCTTGGCCTCCCAAAGGATTACAGGTGTGAGCCACCATGCCCAGGCTACAATAAGCATGTATTTTAAAACCAAAAATAACAAAGAAAGCTGTTTTTTCAGCTGATAGGCAACAATTTCATTGCTCCTAACACATTTTTTTTTGCTGCCAGGAGGATTAAATTAGAGGAAAAACCTGATTCCTGCTTTACCTGGGCCTGAACACACAAATCAGAAATGGTGTACCTCAAAGTGTTGCACTGTCTGGAGCTATTTCATTCTCCAACATGCATGCAACATATTTGGTTGGGGTTTCGCTAACATTTATGCTATATTGCAAAATACGTGCCATTCAGTGTGCCATAGGAAGCTGGTTTTAAAACGTAGATCAGGGAAAGTATTAAAACTCTTGAGATATTTTTGCATATTTATTAAAAGAATATTGAATTTTATTCCATGGCTAACTTCCTAAATTTTAGAGCAACTTGTCACCCTGGTCAAGCTGGAGAAGGATCAGAACCTACTACTTGTCACTTTATTTCATCCTGGGTTCCAATACATGGAGCTATTTTAAAATTTCATTCTGCCACCAATCCTCCTCCATAAACACATTAGTTAAGCTCTCTGTGTCTTGACCCAAATCATTGGTGTTGAGGAAGAAAATGCACAGCCAGGAAGGTTGGTTCTCCATCTTTGCATCTACCTAGCAGTTTAACACTTGCCAAGTTCCATTATTCAAGCAGCTTGACACCCACCAGAAGATACTGTCATCCTTCGTAGACTTCCATAGTTTATCTACAAGGGTGCCACTGGAAGGTATTGTCTTCAATGAAAGCAAGATGCAGCATCATGTCATCACCAATAAAGGGCTTTGTTAGTGCCCACTCTGTGCAGTATTCGTCAGGTTGTGGAGACACAAAATAGTGGAAGGCATGAGTCCTGCAAACAAGCAGCTTACAGTCAGACAGGAAAGTCAGGAATTGTACCTTTGTTGCCACCTGGAATTAGAAAAGTAGCATAGCATATTCCAAGTTTGAACAAGTTTTCTTTAGGAAAAAAAACTAGCATTTGCCTACTCATTTTTTTACTTTTAGTCTTCTAGTATTATTTTGGTCTAGTTTTATCTAAACTGGCTGCTTGCGCTTTCCATCCAGACACTATATAATGTTTGACGTGTGGATTCTGTCTCACTCATTATCCCAAAACCATTGCCTCTAAAAGTCCCTGTCAATCTCATGGTAGTAAAATGCATGATTTTTTTCCACCTCAATGTTGGTAAAGACTCTCTCCTTGACCAAACTGTAGCACAGCTTCTAGCAGTTATCCATGTCCCCAGGATGGCCCCCTTTAAAATGCCTGCCTGAGAAAGTTCATCACTGCCAGGACAATGTCCTGTTTATTCCAGTCAAACCCTGGCAATAGGCAGCTGGCCCCGTGAACCCTCTCTTAAAGCAGTTACTTAGAAAGTTGCAATGATAAATCCTTTCTCTGTCCCTTTGAGATGTAAATCTTCTAACCATCCAGAACTGTCTTCCAAGGATCTGAGAAAAGCAACCCTTCAAAGAGACAACTCCAACTTTCAGATCCTGTGGGAGGGTGAGGGCCTAACTTCAGAGGACCATGCTCTAATTTACACCACAAAAGTTAGCTTCTCCTCCAGATAAGCTCCAATGAACAAACCCAGATAGCCTAGTCACAGGGACCAACACCCCTACTACCCCTCAGGGCTTTCCCCTAGCAGCACACCCCAGTTTTTTAA